CCTCGCTGTCAGCCAACGTGGGAGACACCGTCAGGATCACCTGCTCTGGTAGCAGTAACAGCTATTATGGCTGGCACCAGCAGAAGGTCCCTGGCACTGCCCCTGTCACTGTGATCTATGCTGATAACAAGAGACCCTCGGGCATCCCTTTGCGATTCTCCGGATCCTTGTCCGGCTCCACAGCCACTTTAACCATCACTGGGGTGCAGGCTGAGGACGAGGCTGTCTATTTCTGTGGTGGCTATGACAGCAGCAACTATGTTGGTAATGTGACAGATTTTCAAATGAGGTACAGAGCAATTAAAAGTGTAGATTTTTTTAGTGCTTCTCATGGCCAGAGAGTTTTGGTTGTGGTACTGGTACAGATTTTTGCCTCCTCTGTATGACCACAGCTATGAATACCCGTTTTTGTCCTAGAGAGCAGGTGACCATGTGACTGGAGACCATTGTCCTTGTCCCTACAAAACTCATGGTGTAGCTGTGTTCCCCACCTCACTGCCTCTTGCAGCTAATGACCATGTCCTCCTTCCTCTGCCAGAGCTGCCTCTCTGCTGAGATGCCTTAGGCTGACCTCTCCTCCTCAAATACACTGGTGACCATGTTTGAATCCTTTCTACTCTGACTGTGACATTCCCTATCCTGCTGCCCAGGAAGGTCTGTGCCCCTGGGACACCGACTGACCCCACCTCTTCTCCCCTCTCTCCTCTCTGTCTCCTGATCCAGGCAGCGCTGAGTCAGCCGTCCTCACTGTCAGCCAACGTGGGAGACACCGTCAGGATCACCTGCTCTGGCCTTAGCAGCAGCTGGATTTCTGCTGCCTGGTTCCAGCAGAAGGTCCCTGGCACTGCCCCTGTCACTGTGATCTATTTCAATGACAAGAGACCCTCGGGCATCCCTTCGCGATTCTCCGGATCCACATCCGGCACYACRAACACATTGACCATCACTGGGGTGCAGGYCRAGGACGAGGCTGTCTATTTCTGTGGGAGCTATGTCAGCAGCTGGAGCAGCTATGGTGTTTGGTGACAATGAGTATCAGGAA